ATCGAGTACTCCTCGTGCAACGCGTGTTGACAGAACACACGTCCTGACACATCGAGTACTCCTTGTGCAACGCCTGTCAACAGAACACACGTCCCGACACATCGAGTACTCCTCGTGCAACGCGTGTTGACAGAACACACGTCCTGACACATCGAGTACTCCTTGTGCAACGCCTGTCAACAGAACACACGTCCCGACACATCGAGTACTCCTCGTGCAACGCGTGCCGACAGAACACACGTCCTGACACATCGCTCCGGCTGCCCACAGGGACCTCACACCCATCCCATGGAGACACTGAGCCTCTGCTCCTGCTGACAGGCCAGTGGTGAATGGAACCCCACAAGCACCTCAACTATAAACAGAGGCCCCCACAGCCAGACCCATCCCACACATGAAGTGTGCACTTCCAACAGCTCCAGGGAGTCTAAATGCCTTGAAGGGAGGAGTACAGCTGCACTAGACAGTTTTGGTAACCCTCCTGCAAGTGGTCAGGCTGCAAAAATTGACTGGAAACACTTGTACCTGGAGAAGGTGCAAGAGTACCTTGTGATTTATATTCCTGTAGATTACCAGCATGGGTGATTCTTCCCATGTGGCATTTTTAGTCAAGTCTACCTGCCTGTAAAACCTAACACCAACGTCAACATTCAGCAGTGCTTATGCTTTCAAACCCCTCTGTTCAGGCAGACATTCCTTGAGGACACATCTGACAACAGAGATCACAGTAAGAGAGCGTGTTCAAGACCAAAAAACCAAATTTCACAACACTAATAGAATAAAGAGAAAAAAAGTTGCTGTTTGTCCTGGGAGGAGGGAGTTCTTTCTTTCAGGCTCTAAAAATTGTTTAGAACCCAAGAATATGTTGTCACAATAGAGATCAGGAACTGAAATGCAGGAAAAGGACACTAGCTAGAAGAAAAACTACGAAGTGTTCCCTTCACATTCTTGATCTGTCAATACAGCAGAGATTCTCTGTTGTGGGAAAAGAGACACCCATACTGTCGGATTTAGCAAACAAATCAATACCTTCACGAGCCCTGCTTCAGACCCATCGCGATCAAAGGTCTGGCGGGCTTTGGCAATGGCCAGGATGACGCCTTGCATGGCTGGACTCAGCATCACCTACCACGAAGCAGGAGAACAGACACAAACAAGAACATGGAAAACAGTAACGGACAGGGAAAGAAGAGAAGGCATGGTGAGGAATGGAAGAAACTTCCAAAAGACAAGGTTTGAAGGAAATCGGATGAGTACAGGCGTGGTAACGAGCTGTGAGTTATTTGCATGCTATTGACTACTGATCACATGCACTTTACATGCAGGGCTTGTCTTTAGGCACTTAGAGATCTCAAGGCTGGTCACTCCAAGTCCTGAATTTGTGAACTCCACAAAAGAGAAGGTAAGGCACACGGGCCACGTGCCCCATGTCCCACTCAACCTTCCTGCACCGCGTGACCCGAGGGCAGTGCCTGTGGCACGGCACTTCCTCGTGCCAACTTCACACAAGCACATCTCAAACCTACTCAAGGAGTGATCCAACTGTACTCGTGAAAGAGAGAATTTCAAAAGCACTGCTTGAGCATGTGTGTGTGGTTAAACAGCTGAGCCCAAAAAATCAGTGGGCAGGGCATGTAAATTCTGCTGTTGGGGTAAGGTCTTTGAGAGAGGGACAAAGCTGTACCTGAAACCTGCAGTAAAGAAATTAATGCAGGTAGGATCAGTTTTGATAAGGTTGTGCCAGAAAGAGGACTCAGAGGACCAACATGCAGTGCTCTTACAGAGCTGCTTTGATGGCATTTAGAAACAATTATGGAATGATTTGGTCTGTCCTGCTGCCTTTCCACAGTGGGAAAACACACTTCACACAGGGTACTGCTCCTGCGACAGACACCATCACACCCACCCTTAAGGCAGCTCAAAGCCACTAACTGCAAGGCTACAGGCTAATGAGCAGCAGTAATTAACCCCTGCACTGGGATTTGTACCTCCTCATTATATCCGTCTGCATCAGATCTAACGGGAATCTTCCCCACACTGGGGATTTCCACTTCAGAGACCTGTGAGCTAGTTTGGGCAGCAGCCTCTGCTTCCTGAGCGTCCTGGGGCTGCTCTGCCTGAACAGTGAGGGCTGTTTCTCCCAGCTGGGCCTTCAGTGGCTCTACCTCCTTGGGCTGTGGCCAAGAGGAAAAAGAAGAAAGAGAGTAAGAAAGTCCAAAGCAAAATAGAGGAAAGGCAAAGAGTTAACATGGCACAGCTATAGAACTTGGCAGAAATGGAAAAAGCAAAGGTCTGACAAGAAGAATACAAAGACAAGAGCGGGTTGGTTCCTGGGCCAGGGTCAGCTCCTACCTCGCACAGAGCTGCCTCGACGCCCTTCCTCTCGTAGGCGTCGGCGCTGTTGGCGATGGCCTTGGCAGTCTGCTCCTTGGCAATCCTGGCGTGCTCCGAGGACAGGGAGCACGCGCTCTGCTTGCAGACCGACAGCTGATCTGTCAGGACACACGTGTGTACTGGTGAGCACCAGATGCAAAATTTCTTCTCCCTTGCTCTAAACTGCTCTGCAGCTTGTCTAGGCAGAGTTACAGAGCTGCTGCCTTCATCCCGGAGGTGAAGGCACTTCCCTTGCCAAGGGGAATGGCACACGCCGCCAGGGAGTACTCTCCCACTCCAGAGAACAGCACTCCAATGTTTTCCACTCGGTATTTATAAAAAAGGGAAGGGCTGAAAGCAAAATGAGATTAGCCCATCATGACTAAATTAATTAAACGAAATCACCAGCATTTCTGGGGACAAGCCTGGAAGGATGCAAATGCAAAACCAGGCGAACAGCTCTGCTAGGGCAGAGCCTCGAGCAGCTGCTTGCGCTGCTTCATCCGCAGCTTTCCAGCATTCCGAGAAATTTGTGCGAGGCTCCAACACCATGGTACTGGTGCCCAGCTGGCTGTAACTGGTGCCAACATGGTTTGAAAATTTGGATGTGGATTACCTGAACCTGACTCAGAAGAGATGTCCTGTGATACAGAAGCAGGTGAAGGGTCCATCTGAGGAATCTTGCAAGATTGCTCCTCGTCCCACTCCTCTGCCTCCAGCTCCAAGCACCAGTTGTCCTCCTGGATGTAGAGTCTCAGTTCTGGGGACAACGCTTCTACTTCTTTCTGGAACTGTCCAGCCTCTGGGCCCTCATCCTCCTCTGGAGGCAACACAAGAGCAGCGTAAGGAAACACTGTGGCAGGACACGACCCTCAGGGACTAAACACACACACAATGTTATGGACAGCTGTGCCACAGAGTAGCTGAGGAACACAAGGATCACGCAGGCCAGAGACACACCAACACCTCCTTAAGCAGCAGCTGTGGCTCAGTACCTGCACCAGCAGGGGACACCTGGTCACTGATGTATATCAGGCAGTAGGCACTGGCGTTCCTCGAGCCTCCAAACGACTCTCGCTCCAGCTCTTCCCACGATGACTCTGTCACCGAGATGTCGTTGTACTTGAGCCACCTCTTCCGAGGCTGGTTGTATATGAAGGCCCAGTAGTGCCCTGCGTTTGCCTGCCCTTCATGGACCAGGACTGCATGCAGACGATAGGGAACCTGCAGGGTGACGTGGACATTGGTCAGATGTGCTGCTAGGGAAGACTCTGCCTGACCTCTGTACACAGACTGCAGGGGTGTTCAGATGTGTAGCCTGGCACAAGACTCAAGCCACTTGATAAACTTCCTACTAAGCGAAAACTGATTTTTAAGGAGAAAAGAAACAAGATTTTCACCATGGGGATTTCTAAAATACACTGAAGAGGCCAACTTTCACTGACAGCTACTAACAAAACCAGTATCAGCAATACTGGTTTAATATTTATGTACTGAAGTGCATTTCCTACCTGTTGGAGGAGAGGGTCACAGTATATTTGTTCAATGGACAGGTTGGTTCTGGCAATAGACTCCTTCAGATCTGCCAAGAACATCATCAGTGAGAGAAATGCTTAAAAATTAATGACTACTCATCAGGCTTTGCTGACCCTATTCACTTCTAAGAGTCTGAAGCCAAGCAGGAACTACCAGATACACTCAACACCAGAGCTCAAACAGGGACAAGATTATTTGTGGTACAGACTGTATCCAGTGAAGCAACAGAGGGGAAAACAGACTGGGAGAAAAATCACCACAAATGCATTTGGGGCCAACCTTGCATGTCTTGTTCGATCTCTTTTCTCCATCGCTGCAGACACGTCTGAACCAGGTTCAGCTCTTCCTCGGAGACCATGTGAGGAGCTGGACCTTCAGACAGTTCTGCTGGTGAGACAGAAGGCTGGAGCTCCATACTGGAGTTTTGCTGCAGCGAAGAATTTGCCAAAAAGACAGCTTCATCTTCAGTACTAACGTCCATCCTTCCCAGCATGCTGTGGAGCAAAATCCAAGAGTAGTGGACAGGTTTTTCAATCCTTCTCTTGTTTATTCTCTTTTTGGAAATGAATATGAAATAAACCACACAAAAATTACTCCAGAGCTGGAGTAGGATTTCCAGGGTGGTTCAAAATGTAAAGAGAACAAGTACACAGGAAGGTGCTTCTGCCTTCACAGATCAAACTAAAGTACTGGACAATACATGGGAAAATTCCTACAGAACTCCGTAAGCAAAACGAGCAATCTAAAAATTCCTTCCCCTATTACTAGGAAACTGGTGTATTTACTCAGCTTAATTTGGAGTGTAAACCAATCATGCTGGCCAACATTATAATATCCAATATTGCTGTAATTTACTGGTTGGTGAAGCAAAAAAAAAAGAGTAGCCTAACCAAAAAAGAGCACATAATTGAACTCAGAATTGCTGCTTAGACAAAGAGTATGGAGATGCTTTGGGAAAAGGAGAAAGAACAGACTCGATGCAGTGTTCTATTCGCACCAACAGAGCCAAACGACCAGCAAAGCAGTGACCCACTACCTGCACAAGGACTCGCACACTACAGCACCGTGCTCACCAGTGCCCAGACAAATCGCCCCCAGGAGCATTCAGCTGAGAGGCAAAGTGCTCTCCTGAGAATCCTTTTTATTTCTCTTTACTGACCCATTTGGCTGTGAACGCACATCCAGAATGTGAGGCTTGGCTTGGGAGTGCATTGTCCGAGAGCCCTGAGCAGAGGAAACAGCCACAGCTGGCTTCGCAGAGATGAACTCCAGCACGTACTGCAGCATGTCAGGCAGTGGAAAGCGGGCAGAGCCAGAGCCATATTCCATGTACCTATGGAAAAATGTAAAGTGACACAGGAATGAAGGAATGAGATGGGTTAAACCTTAAGGAACAGAAGACCAAGAGGGGCGAAAACTCCTGGTTCAGAATGGAGACACTCTAAGCAGTGAAGGAGGGAGAGGAACAACCCAGATGATGCAAAGGGAGTAACTCCCACCAACGACCCTGAGAGCCCTGAGGCTGCAGGGACTGCTCAGTGTGCTATCAGCAGGTTTTGGCCACAAACACAAAACAAGACAAAGAACCGACAACTAACCCCATTCGAGCCAGAGCCTGGGGGATGTTACACCCTGGCTTCTCACTGCCCACCAGAACACCCCTGAGCACAGACAGCACAGCCCTCTGCCTGCCACTTGGTCACAGAACTGGCACTTCAGAAACACCAACCGTGAGTTCCGTGCTGAGTGAAAGGACTTTTACACAAAGCACCTAGGACATGAAATCTTCAGGCTGTCCTCAAACCAGATCTTTGCTATTGATCTCCTTCCTTCTCCTACCAATAACGCCAAGCTCTGAGCAGGAGGGGATCTCTACCATTCCTATAGCACAGACTCTCTGTAATGCATTGCCAGGCTTCCTCCCCCTGCAAACGCAGCTGACAGTGGCAACTGTGCTCTTTAAAGAATTTATTCCTGTAACAGCATCAGTAATATTCTACAACCATTGAAATGAGAGGTTTGTTTTTGAAACCACACTGCCTCCCTCCAAACATACCAGAACAAATCTGGTGCTGTTCCTCCTTCCCCTACAAGTTTCTCTGTTATTGGAAAGCTCATTTAAAAGGGAACATTTGCACACTTCCAGAAGGCACAAAAATAAAGCCAGATAACTACTTACCTTGCCAGTTTCTGCTGCAGAGTCACTACTTTCTCCTTCAATCTCTTCACTTCTTCTCTCTTCATCTGAATAAGCTCTTTACTGCAGTAGAGGTACCTGAATAGAAACAGAGCCCCACCAGCCAGGTGAGATTTGTTTACTTCTAGCATTCACAGTCTTCTGTAAATATCTTTCCTTGCTCATCCAAACAACCTTTTTAATTTCTTTATTTGCAACAAAGCAATAGCTTTAAACGTACCGTACGACAGGACAACTCACCTGTCCATATAAATAGTCTGGGGGAACTCCAGCTTGGTGTGAATTTTCTCTGGCTGTCCTAGCGACTGATTGAACTCAAATCGGGAGAGTTCGAAGGTCAGAACTGGTGGGAGTTTTGTAAACCAACGCTGTAACAGAAGCAGAAAGGCCCCCAAAGGGACTTGTTTTAAGATGACTGTTAATGGCACATTTTAGACCGATTCTACACGACTTTAGTCGGATTTAAATGTCTCTGTGTTTAAGCACTGAATCAGGTTTTGTTTGCAGAGTGACTGGTCAGAAAGCAAAATTTTACACGACAAAAATTTATGCTTCCATTTTACATTTTTACTGTGAAAAGCCTCATAATTGCTCTCAAAGTTACTTGTCATTGCCTGGTGCATCCAGCTTGACGCATTGCTCGCGAGTCCAGCACTGAGTTCCACAAATCAGAAGAGGCTACACACACTCTGCACATCAGCTCAGAGGCCCAAGAGAGCTCTTTTCCGAGGCAGATGGTGTGCTATGAAGAACAAACCAGAGGTCCTCCTGCAGCACTGGATTCCTTGTCCTCTCTCTCTTGCTAGCTACAAACAACTCGATTTAGGGTATTCAGGAAAGAGCCTCACTTTTCTGTAGCTTCATACACTGTTTCAAAGAGCCATGCTGAAGGGAAAATTCTCAGCTGAATTTACACTTCCTCTGTCTCTTCCTGGGTTCACAAACACTTCCAGCATCCACTGCTAGAAACTTCCTTTGCCTATTTTAGCTTGGCACCACCCACACCAGGAAAAACAGGAACAAATGCTTGAGTCCAGAGTCGGACAGGGCTCCCCTGCCCAAGACTTCATTTCTCCTTTGTTAGTTTAAACCACAGCAACACAATTTTCAGACACTCTCATAGAACTGGAATACCTTTCCCTGCCCTGCCTACACCACACACCTTTGCCAATGTCTTCTGGTTGTTTCCCAGCCTTTCTCCAAGCTAACTGCAGCTGCACTTACACATGGAGGACGTTCAATGAAATGCTGCACCTTCACCTTCTAGTTTGCTGCAACTAAGTACTTTATGACTCGTTTGTAATTTGTGAGATTGAAACAAAAGAAAAAAATGATCAGTCAGAAAATAACAGTGAAAGCAGGAAGAAAAAGCCCAAACCACGCACACTGTAGTAGGGAGGAAGAGACAAATTCCAAACGGCATACCATGGAGTTAAGCACTGTACTTTTACCCTCTGAAAACATGGAGGCAGTGGGTCTCTCCCTACTCAGGTACAGGGAGGCTTCAACAGAAAGAGAGAGAGTTTATCACTCGATTCAGAAGCAGATGTTGACTGTTGTAATTTAAAACAAACTCCTCCAGCTGGTTACATAGGACAACACACCTTTACAAATCAGCAAAGACTTAGTCTCAGCACATCAACACTAACTGACATTTACACGAGATTCCAGGTATCCAGAAAACATTTTGTATTCAATTCTTAGGGAACGCTCACAATTGCCATTGACAGTTATCAGAGTACACGAGACACACCTGGTCTGTGTCTGCTGCATTTTTCTGCAGGAGGCAACCAAAGGCTCAACAAAAAAGGGTAAAACTAACCTCCTGTCCATACTCCACTGACTGAGATGCTGTTGCCTTGTCCATCTCTCCCTCCACCATGGCTCCTTCCAAGCACTCATTCAAGTTCCGATAACCGTTGACCTGAAGGGGATACTGACCAAAGGTCTCAATCTTGGAAAAGGTCTTGCCTGGATGATGGAAACCATACAAAAACCATGAACCAACTCAAGAGAACAAAAAGCTCTGGTTAACTCTGAAACACTCAAAGCAGTGTAAACGTTGAGTCTACCAAAGCCTTAACTCACCCTCATGGACACCCTCCGTCAGGAAGGTCCCGTAGAAGAGCTGTACCATTGGGTTTTCGGCTTTGTCCCCAGGGCTCCTGTTTCAGAAAACAAAAGCACATGGTCATTTGCAGCTGGAGGCTGCAAAAACACTCCAAGTCGTAATCTAAGCTTCTGCTTGGGAACCTACAGGCAAAAGTACAGTTTTCTATCCAAGCACAAAATACAGAGGAAGCTTCTCACGTTTTCATGCTCCAAAGCACATTATAACACTTGCACAGGCAAAGGGGAAACAGTGAAGGTGCCAGTTTTTGAAATGCAGTTCCAAACACCCAGAGCTTTCCTGCTCACCAGTTCTGCTGAGCTCCCCTAGAGAGCTCATTTACTCTGCAGCTGTATCAGCTCCAAGTGAAGCCCTGCAGTCACAAACAGGGGATATGGAGACATAGCTCCATAAAGACATTTGGGCCCTAAGGAGCCTCATCCACAGTAAACAAAGAACTCTCATTCGCTCAAAACTTTCCTGTAAGGCCTTCTCATTTATTCCAACTCTCCTCAGTGTCAGGTCAAACTCCTGAGATCACACAGAACTCACGTGACATTCACAGCGAGCTGGAACACATCCTCCAGCCAGTCCAGTAGTTTGTGCGTAAATTCACTCACATCTTGCTAGAAGAGAGGCAGAAGTGGAGAGCCAAACGTCACACCCACCAGAAAGTGCTGCCACAGCGTGTTGGTGTCGCAGACCCATGGGTAGTGCTGCACCCACCCTGCCCAGCTACGTGTGAGACTCGAGTGCTGTGCTGACTTAGGCTGGTAATGAACACTCTGCTCATCTGCACACTAGATCAGAGGAAATTATCGTGCTCGCTACCCGGCTGTGCAGATGGCACTGGGCACGCAGTGCTGCGCTCGCTGGCTCGTTAGCACACGCACATTCTGCCTGAATGACACGGGGACAGCTGCTTGTCGGCTGACAAACGGGGCAGCAGCTCTCCGCAAGCACCAGCAGGATGAACAGCAGTGGGATTGCTGCGGCTGCTGGTTCCAAGAGAACAAAAGGCTTTCGATGCGGTTTTACCTGTGGTTCTTCAGCAGATCTGAACACATCATTCAAGAGTTCCAGTGCTGCAGAAGGGTCTACGAAATTACGCCATGTCCCCAACATCAGCGCGAATAGACATTGAAGTTCTTGCATGAATGCAATATTTCTTTTTTCCTGCGTTGCAAAAAGAAAAGAGCCAAAGCCTTCCTGCAGCACCTTAAAGCTAAGTGCTGCAGAACACCACGTGCACCATACCGGAAGAGGCACCCAAGAACCAAGGATAAAAAGGACAAAAGCAGGAAGTCATGCAGTGTCATTTCTGGGAGTCCCAATCTGGTCTCCCAACAGACACACGGGAGAGAAAAATTTAAGCAAAACAAAACATTTAAGGAAAGGAGTGCCAGAAGTAATAGCTGCTAAGCCAGAAGGCAAAAGCCTGTGAATTTATGCATTTATTCTGTCTGTATTTGAGGTTTTTTAGAGCACTGAGAGCACACATGAAAGCAAGCAAAGCAAAGTCTCTTAAATGGTGGTTGCCACAAGCTGGGATGACATAGCATGCAAAGGATTATTCTGTGTACGCCTTTTGCTCGAAGTACTTTCTAAGCACCTTCTGCTCACCACTCTCAGAAGGTCCTGGGGCTAGAGGGACCTGCAGACTGGCTCAAATAACAGTTCTTCTATTACACATGCAAACCAACGAGCAATCTGGAGCTGCCAAAGAAGTTTTACGGGAAACATTTCTCCCCACACGGCAGTTAGAGGCTCTAGAGGACAGTGGTGCAAGATCCTATCCCAATTCTGTCTGCGAAAAGGATTTCCTAAATTTGTCTCTAACACAGCCTGATGATTTTAAAGCCATTAACACAGGCACAGGAGTCTCAGATGGCCTCAAATTAAATATGCTTAGAGAAAGAGCAGAACACTACACCACACAAGAGGGAAACTTGACCGTGTTACTTGATGAAAACTTACAGTGCGACTACGACAACTTTCAAGCACATTCTGTGGGAGAGAGTACCCAAGGACCAGCCTCCGGAATTCTGGCAAGTGAAACAGAGACTGAAAGGAAAGCAGAGGTAAAGCTCAGTCAGCACCTGCAAGGACTGGACTCACTGCAGTCTGATGCCACATTGTCACGCCCTGACTCGACAGGTTTATTTTGCAGATGTCTAATTCCCCAATGGCCTTGTGTCACTGAACACATGTTTACGACGTGAGCAGTCCCTGGGCTGGACCAGCACACTCGTACCCACCCCAGGACAAAACCTCATCCTGGCATTTCCAAGACAGATATAACCATTTTAGGAATGAGTATTCTGCTCTGCACAGGCAGGCTCAGAAAAGCACCAAGGAACAAGTCACAGTGAGAAAGGCCCATTTTCAGCTTTCTTACTTCCACTCAGAGCTGGAGACAAACGATTAACATCTCTCTGCTCATGTGAAACGGTTAGGAGATACAAATCTGCTCAGTTCCACTTACTACTGTCTCTTCTTTAGGTTGTCACTATTATTACACGCTGCCTAGTTGCTTATCTGTCCAAACATCTATGCCAGTGTATTCCATTAACTGGAACAGGATACACCGTGTGTTATGGAGCCAACAATAACTGCAGCAAAATCAAATTATCGGTTCACTTTGCCAGGCAAGTGTCTGCCATGGAGTAAGCACTTGGCCACAGCAGCACAAACCCTGCGCACAGACACACAGATTCTCTGTACCTGGAGCTATTTTTAAGCAAAGCCTATTTAAGTGCTCTTTGGCTATTTCTGTGCAGGCCCACAACACATCACATAAACCAGAAGTTTCTGTGTTTGAGCAGGGTCACGTTCACTCATCTGCACACAATAACCCTCTCAACAGAGCTCCTGCATATTTACTTCTAACTGAGAAACAGTTTGACTCCAAGACCAGAAAAAACGAGCTTTTTCCAGGTTACCTGTATAACAGCGCTAAACCAACAGGTATTTCCAATATTTTTCATTCCAACAGGCCAGTCCCTCCCTTTTCTCCAGTCATTCCGCTGGGAGCCGTCTCCCCAGACCTCGCAGCGTTTCCGTTTGGAGCGGGTTTTGTTCTCGGCGGGAGGGTGTCCCTGTGGTCTGTCATGAGATGCACACTGTGCTGTAAAGCACCTGCCCGAGATTCCCGACAGCCACGGGAATCAAACTCCCCTCCAGCCAGGAGGTACCCACCCGGCAGGACACCCACGTTTGTTCTGCAGTTATCAGCTTAAGAACCCACCCATGGTACCTGGGAAAACCAGAGCCCCCTTGCAGCCCCACCGACCTTTCTGCCGCATCCCTTTCCGCCGCCGGAGCCTTCGGCGACTCCCTCGGTCTGACGGCGCTGGCTGCGCAGAGGTTGTCTTGGTTGTGAGGGGCAGGTGCAGCAGGGACACCTACAAGTGGAGGCAGCATTCCAATCAGCTTCCCACCACCAGCGGCAAACACTCTCTTTTAAAGGAACTTCTAGAAAACTTCACACTTCACAAACACAGTTTGCCAATCGATACGAGCAACATCTTCTAGCTGAGGTTTTAAACAGAAACCCCTGTAATTTGCATCGTGCTAGGGAACCTCCGAGCCACTGCGTGGGCTGGATGAGGAGAACTGGGCAGAGCACACAGCTGTGTACTGCCCAGATTTCCTTACGGCCAAATTCAGAGCTTGAGGGAGCAGTTCAGAGCTCCTGAAAGAATGAAATTGGCATATCAGCTCTTTAACCGTGATGCGCCACTACAAACATTATTCAAACATTCCTAAAACACTACTAAGTGATCAGCACTGGCACAATCAGATCTGTGCCAGGACAGGAGCAGGGAGGAGGGACACTTCCCTCTGAGCTCACACAAACACGTGAAGCCGTAAGGGCGAGCAGAAGCGAAGGACTTACTCTGTGGGAGGTGTTTGCCCACCGCGCTCCCCTCCCACACGGAGGGCTCTGCAGCAGCCAGGTCCCGCGCCGGCTCCTGCGCCAGCTCCTCCGTCAGGAAGGTGACTGCTTCCATCAGGTCTCCATTAGCAGCCTGGGAGAACAATGGGGCAAAAAGGTCCTTAGTGCCAGGGTGATTTCACCCACGCTCGTGTGACCTGTAACGCACTCGTGGCGGGGGCAGGCGCAGTCCTGCCGCGGGACAGAGACCTCCCGGTGACAAGAGCAGCAGGAAACTGAAAACGCTGAGGGCTAATGTTTCTCTGTCGGAAAGCACGCCGGCTTTATTCCTGAGACAACACAGGCTCCATTAACTAATTTAATTTCCCTCACAAGAGATTCAAGTAGCTGCAACAGGCCTGAAGTGCCACAGGGTCTTCTGCCACCAGGAGAGACTCAGGAATCAAACTCTGCCTGGATTCCAAAACACACTGCTCTTACTGAGCAAGGGCTCCCTTCAGGCCATCACCACGGGCTAAACACCTTGAAACTTACGCTGATATTTTCAGGCCAATACTTCTCAATGAAACATTTAGGGAGGTTTTTTCAAACAAATCCCTCTGCATACCATCGGCGCTGCCCACACCCTCCTGCTGCACCTCCAGGGCACCAGCAGCATCCAAGGATTCTAAGGCTATCATTTACAAATACCAAAACGTGCACTATGAGGAGGAATCTTTCCAGGTAAACCTTGTTTCTCTAAATGCCTGAGACTCCCATCCCCTTCACAGAGGACTGTTCTGGTGATGAACAAGACCCCAAAGCCACTGATGCTACTGCAGCTGACCAGAACTCCTGAGGGAGTTACATCGAGAAAAACGCACTCTGACCTACTCAGTCTGTGTTTACCCTAACACACGGATAACAGCCCTGGAGGAGCAGAACTTCCAGGCAATGTTTACAAGGTTTCAGCACAGCACGTACTGCTGCAGCAGATTTTAAGGTCCACTGTTAGAAAAAAACAACTATTCTCAACTTAGTGCAGAATTTCTGTTTCGGATGTGGGTGGATACGTATGAACTCCAGAACTGCAAGTGCCCTGCTGACACCAACAGCTGCTGGTCTCACCTACCTGTCTGACTCATGGGTATACCCAAAACCAAAACGAAGCATCAGCGAGGGGCAGAAAAGCAGCAAAGGGTTTACCCTTTGGCTCTCGTACATCCAGGCTGCCCCTGGGTCACTCCCACAGGCCATGCACCAACCATTCTACCGAGGACCAGCTCATTATCAGCCCACAGACATACCAGCAAACGTCTGACCCGTGTGCTGCACTTGAAGAGAACCTGAACTTGCCTGACTTTAGGTACAAATTCAGCACTCTCTTTCCCCTGAACAATGACAACAGGCACAAACCTTCAGAGCAGCGAGCAAGAATGCCGAATCCTGAATTTCTGTGATCTCTTTCAGCTGGTCTAAGAGCATCTGGCAATCCTGTGTGCAAGAAATAAAGTAAGTTCATGTGAAAAGATGAGCAGAATGGACATCGAGCTGTTTCTGCAAGGCCTGCCGAGGGCTCACTGGAGCATTGCTTCTTTCCTCCCTTTCTGCTGACAGAGTGACACCCAAGCCCAAGCCACACTTGTCTGATGGAAAAACCAACATCAGCTCGAACATCACACTCAGGTTTTTTCTGCCCTAAACTTACAGACTAATGTTCAGTCCGTCGTATCCTCAGGAGAACAGGCCACCCCTGCTGGCAGAGGCACACCTGGGGGGGGAAGGGGCTCCCCTGCCCCCCGAGGCTGTGGCATGTGCAGCAGGACATATAAGGCTGTGGCTGCTCCCAGGGCACCGGCGTGAGCTACTTTCAAGCTATTTTCAGTCTGGCAGCACATGCCATTTGTGCATGTCACTTCTCACTGACAATAAGGTGTCAGAGCAAGGGCTATTGCTCCTCCTTCCTCCTCCACCCAGGCCCCTGGGGGTTTGGTGAGACACTCACTGCTCCAGACCCCAAGCTATGGTTCACAACTTGTCCTTTGGGCTGTTCCACCACTTAAAACAAACGATTACAGAAAGTTTATTTACCAGACTTATAAAATCTTTGCCAAGCCATGAATAACCTCAGTCAACAGCTATCAGGAGAGGCAGCTCTCCACAAGGGGAGACCTATCACCTCCATTTGTGGCCACAGTTCAGCTGATGCTGCTGCCAACGGCTCCGTCCGGTGACAACAGAGATGCAGCTCCGTAACAGTGGCACTGCACATGGTACGAGAAGGATGTTACAACAGGGACAACTGCCGGGACTGTGCTGCACATCCTGATGTACAAGGGCTGTCCAGGACCCTGCTGTCAGCACAGCCCGATCAACCCCAGCTTCTTAACACACATGAATGAATCTTAACCAGCAAACCTGCAGACAGATGAATTCAAGTTTCTACTCACTCTCATCATTGAGAAAAAATGTAAGACACTTTCAGGCCACTGAAACACAAGCTCCACCCAGTGAG